GTAAGGTGGAGGGTCAGAGAAAAAGGGGAAGACCCCCAACGAGATGGATTGGCCAAGTGACAGCATTGATAAACTCAAGCATGGCAACGGTAGTGACTTGATGGCACCTAACAACAACAACAAATATGCAGGTGACATAACTGCTTGCTGAAAGCACAGAGAACTTAAAGCACTTGCTGATGAAGATAAAATACAGTCTTCAGTATGGATTCTACTCATTGTAAAGAAAACAAAAATCCTCACAGCTGAACCAACAAACAGCATTATGATTAACAGAGAAAAGATTGAAGATTGCCCAAAGTTTCATTTTACCCAGATCCACATTCAGTGTGCATGGACACAGCAGTGAAGAAATTAAACGATGTATTGCACTGAGCAAATCTGCTGCAAAAAGACCTCTTCAAAGTGGTAAGGAGCCAAGCTGTCACTTTGAGGACTAAGGTATGTCTGATCTAAGCCATGCTATTTTCAGTCACCTCATATTTGTGCAAAAGCTGGACAATGAATAAGGAAGACTGTAGAAGAATTGATGCATTTGGATTATGACATTGTTGAAGAATTTTGAAACTGCCAAAAGAGCAAACAACTTTCTCTTGGAAGAAAAACAGCCAGAATTCGCTCCTTGGAAGCAAGGGTAACAAGATTTCGTCTCACGTAGTTTAAACCTGTTATTAGGAGGGACGGCATGCTTGGTAAGGTAGAGGGTCAGTGAAAAAAAAAAAGAAGATGACTCTCCACAGGGTGGATCAACCCAGTGACGGCAACCCTGGGCTCAAATATCGTGGGGATGACGCAGGGCCAGACACTGTTTTCTTCTGTTGTACACGGGGTCACTCCGAGTCAAAACCAGCTGGCCGGCACCTCACAACAATAACAACAGAAGTTGGCGCATGTCTAGCTTTAGTAGACATTCCCAACAGCTTCTTGGTGTTTAGTCTCACCTGTTCTGAGAGTTCTGCCAACATTTCACTGAGTCAGTCCTTTTCATTTTAGTTCTTCACCTGGAGGCTTGGTGTTAAGTGCAGTCGAGTCGATTCCAACCCACAGCAACGCTCGCTCTATAGGGTTTCTGAGGAGTGGCTGGTGAGTTTGAACCACTGACCTTGTGGTCAAAGGCACTAAGCCACAGCCTTCAGAATGTCTTCCTTTGTGCCCTTTAGAAACACTGGGTTGTTTGTCTTTTGCTAATTGCTCTGTTGAGTCCTTTCTGGTATCCTCCCCCAACTGTGACTTGCAGATTGACTGTGTTAATCATGACGCTGGCTGAGCAGTTGTTGTTGTTATGTGCCGTGGAGTCGGAGTCGGAGTCGGTTCTGACTCACAGCAACCCTAGGCTCTAAATCTTTATGGGAGCAGAAAGCCTCATCTTTCTCCCATGGAATAGCTGGTAGTTTCGAACTGCTGACCTTGCGGTTCTCAGCCTGATTCGTAACCACTACGCTACCAGAGCTGAGCAGTAGTTCCCAGTTTTAAGGATGTCCAGTTCTCCAGCCTTTTCTTTGATGGTTAGTGGCTTTGGGTCCTGGCTTAAGAAACCTTTTTTGCCCTATGATCAGTTTTCTTCTGGAAGCTTGGTTGTTTTCGCTTAGATCTATGACTCACCCCAAATGAACATTGTCTGCTTTTGCTCTGAGGACACCTCTACTAGGTGAGCGCTAGGTGGGCCTCGGGCACTGTTGGGCTCTGAGGGGTTCTGAAAGGCTTTGTTCCCACAGGACTCTGGAGCGTTCTGCCGGTTGTGGGGCCTCTACAGAACAAAAGGTTACCCAACAGAGCCACTCTCATTGGGGGAAGTGGACCTGGGAGAAGCCAGGTCCTGCCCACCCACCCCTCTCTGACACCCCAGGGTGACTTTCAAACACTAGTATGGCTTCCAGCGTTCCTGGGAATATGGTTTGAAAACCACTGCCCTGGGTAGATTTTGTTTCTCACACAAAATTCTTGACAACATTCTCTCTTAGGGATGTTTGCATTCTAATGACTTTAAGAGGCAAACTCCAGGTAGGTGTTGTTGTCAAGTGCCGTCGAGTTGGTTGCGACTCTTAGCGACCCTGTATAGGGTTTCCAAGGAGCAGCTGGTGAGCTTGAACTGCCGACCTTGCAGTTCAAACGGCTTTGCAGTCTGGTAGGTGTAGAAGGCTTCAATTTTTCTGCTGCCCACAAGGCTGACTGGCCCCAACCTCTGGGTAGGTGCTGGGCAATGAGTGCCACCGAGTGGTCTGGGCAGAGGTGGAGGCCCCCAGGAACCCCAGTATGAGACAGCGTCGCAGTACTGGAAACCAGAGAACTCCAGCCTCAGGGAATCTGAGGTCGGAGCTTGCGATTCTGAGTGGCGCCACCTAACGGCAGCAGCTTGGAGCAGCTTGGAGCAGCTTCTTGGGTCCATTATGTGACCAGTACAACTGCCCCATAGGGTGTCGTTTTAGGCTGTAATCTTTAAGGGAGCCAGGTCTTTCTCCCATGGTGTTACTGGGTGGGTTCCAACACTAAGCTTTTGGTTAGCAGCCCGAGCACTTAACCACTGCGCCCCCAGGATTCCTCAGCCCTTTGCAACCCTGGCGCCTCCTCTTCCTCCTCAGTGGCTGCAGAACGTGCTGGGCCAGGTGCTGGACGCACTGGAGTACCTGCATCGGTTGAACATCCTTCACAGGTGACTGGGGTAGCAGTTGAACCAGTCCTGGGAGGCGGGGCCCCAGTCACCCAGCATAAGAAAGAGCCCACCCTTCCGCAGCACTTCCTCCAGGAAATCACCGCTCCTAAGCGCCCCACCACGCACGCACGGCTTCGTGGTGTGTGAGCTCAGCGGGCGGGGTTTCTAAAGGAAAGACTCCAGACCAAGGGTGGATCGCGGAGGAATAGCGGCATGGGTAGACGGAAGGGCAGTGGGTGGATGAATAGCCCCCCCGCCATGAAGGAAAGGGGCTTGGGAAAAAGGCGAATATCTTGTATCTTGAGGGGCTAGAGGAAGAGGAGCTTTTAAAGGAGGATAAGTTAAAGGTGAAAAGGTTCAAAGAAAAGAGGCGGGAAGGAAGGAGGAGCTAAAAGGGACTGAGGGAGGTGGAGCTAAGGGAGAAGAAGCAAAAGGAGGAGGAGCTACAAGAGGAGAAGATGAAGGAGGCAGGGCTAAGTGAGGCTACAATCATACATTGACAGAGAACTTCCAGAGGTTGAAGCTCGAATCAGAAGAGGCGGTGGATCGAGCGATATCATTGCTGATGTCTGATGGATCTTGGCTGAAAGCAGAGAATATCAGAAAGATGTTTACCTGTGCTTTATTGACTATGAAAAGGCTTTCAGTTGTGTGGATCCTGACAAGCTATGGATAACATTGCGAAGTATGAGTATTCCGGAACACTTAATTGTGTTCATGAGGAATCTGTACCTGGACCAAGAGGCAGTAGTTCAAACAGAACATGAGAACACTGAATGGTTTAAAGTTAAAAAAGGTATGCAACAAGGTTGTAGTTTTTCACGATACTTATTCAACCTGTATGTTGAGCATATAATCCGAGAAGATGGGATCTATGAAGAAAAAGGTGGCATCAGGATTGGAGGAAGACTCATTAAAACCTGCGATATGCAGATGATACAACCTTGCTTGCTGAAAGTGAAGAGGACTTAAAA